GTACACTTTACTATCCCCATTGCTGGGCGGGTTAACCACGGTCGGTTGATCCCACTGCTTCTGAATCAGATCTAGAAAGAGTTTGGGTGAGGGAATAACATCCTGCAAGGCCACTTGCTCAGCAAAGAGGCGCTCAGTTGCATCTAACCCCACAGCTGTGCTATCCTTAGAGGCTGCCTCCCCCATGTGGGTGGTGGTCTTAACCTTATACAGCAATGACTTAAATAGAGAATGGAGGAACAATCCAGGTGAGTAGGTTGATCCAGTGGAAGACTCATCATCGGAAAATCATCTATAACCTCACCGTCCTCCACCAAGGCCGACTCCTCACTATAGACTGAGGGTTGAGGCGAAGGTGGATCTGTTTGAGGAATAGATGAATCCCCTTGCACTGCCTGGGGATCTGGGTCACAGTGGCCCTGGGAACCTGGGCTCTACAAAGTAGCTCCGCATCCACCCCCCTAGAAATAGCTACAGATATCATTTGGTACCAGTCAGGGGGGAGGCCCAAATCCTGGCCTTCCATTGGCCTGAGGCCTGCAGCAGTAGGAGTGAACGTAGTGGAAGGTCCTGCGCATGGGGGCGAGTGGGCCGAAGCCACACTGAGATCAGAAATAGGAGGGTAGGGTAGGGTGGCCCCAAACCCCCCTCTGCTGACATGGGAGCCCGAGGCAATTGAATATCAGGGGACCAATTCCGCTCTGTAGGGCATGCTGGGGAAGCCCGTTGCAGAATTAGTACCGGGGGTGAGCTGCTAGGTGCCCCAGAGGCCTTAGCTGCTAACTTGGATTTATCCTTGCGCTTATGGGACTTGTCCCTAATGGCGGATGAGGCCCGAGGCCTATGACTGGTGGCCCTAGTAGCAGCCCTGCCGGGCCTTCGGCTAGCCCTCCCCCTCACCAGGGGAACGGGGCTCACAAGTGGGCTCCACAGTACCTTTGGACACAGACTGGTCAGCCATTGCAATGAGAGAAAAAGATTTAGAAAGGCTCAAACTTGTATAATGAGTAAATGCCACGAATTGCTCCACCGCACAAAGCGCCATGTGAAATCAGTAGCTGCGTTGGAAACGACCTCCTCAGTGACTCAGCAAGCCGCAAGTGAGGGAAAGAGGAAGGCCGTCAGGGCGGCGTTGATGCCTGGGCGCGAAATCACACACCCTGCCTCCTCTGGCCAATTCCGGCGTGTGCGCAGAACCCGATCCAAAATGGTGGCCATCCCAGAGGGCGCAAAATTTCAAACCAATTGCCAATTACCTCCCTGCGACCAATTAGATCTCACAGATTGGGCCTCCTCNAATCAATAAGCTCAGAGTCTTAACCACTGAGCCACTGTATCCCTTATTATTAGATATTATCATCACTTCTTCCATTATGCCCTTGATCATGAGATGTCTAGCAAGTGTTATAGGACATCTGATTCCCGTGAATTGTTGCCGGGGATGGAACTTAGCCAAAGCATGAGCGAGCCATTTGGACACAACTGCTTTTACATGGAGTATCTCTTGTTACTATTTGGTCTCAAGTTCCAGAAATGAACACAAGACATGGAGACAGTGCACATTAATGCAAAAAGTAACTTCTGGTTGAACTCAGTTCTTTAAAAAATATGGGGAATGAAGTATGAAACTTGAAACTGTTGGTCACTCCTCAAGACATTGAAATCTTGAAAATTAAAATACAACCCAGACTAGAAACATTTTCTGTTAAGGTTTATGGATAAAGGCTGAAATATATGTTACCTTTATATGTAAAAGGAGCATGATTTTTATATGCTCGGCCCTGAAATGGTGAGTAAAGATGATGGAACTTAGCAGTAATGG